TTACAGCATTTGATCGTCGCAAGAGGTCACCCATCTACGTGCTGACCAGGATCGTCTTTGCTTAACTTCGGTGATCGTACGGGAACCGGTGTTTCAACATGATGTTGCCGTAAGCCAATTCTACACGCACATCCAAGCTTACAGCACCTGTTATTCACAAGAGGTCACCCATCTACGTACTGACCAGGTTCGACGTTGCTTAAATTCGGCAATCGAAAGGGTTCCAGTGATGTTTGATATATTCACTTCCACGCATATTTTCACTTTCCACGGCAAAGGTATTAATCAATCTCTTTACCCATTTTCCGGCATTAAATAACCTGCAAAGGGTTGATAATCCGTAAAAAACCAAATGAATCAGCATTAATTATAGTGGCCTTGTGCTAGGATAAACTCATCTCCAAACATTAATGCTAGGGCAAATGCTTTCATCGAAGAAAGGTATTTCAACATTATAAAGTGTTTTCGTCAGTTGATTTTACGATGTGCTGAGGTTGGATGTGCGAGTGGTGTAATGGCTCAGAATGGGAAATCGGAAAGCCTAGTTCGAAATCCAGTAGAGTTAACTCCATTTCTATAGGAATCCATCTTTCCCAGCTATGGGTTAACTAGTAGGACTTGCATTTAGAAAAATCGTTGTTATTCTTAAAAAAAAAAAAGGAAGAAAGAAATATAGTATAATACTCGCCCCCCCCAAAATATTCTTACAATACAATATATATATATATATATATATATATATATATATATATATTTTAAATAATCCGCAAAGAGGTTGATAACCCGTAAAAAATAAAGTCAATGTATCAGAAGCTTTGCTGATATCAACAATTGTTTGTTTTGACTATTGGTAGTAGTATTATTATTGTAGTTTAAACTTGCTTTTTGTGTAGTACGAGTTATCTCCAAGTCTTAACCAGAAACTTCAATCGACCGAAGAAATAAAGACAGTCAGACGCAGGGTGAAATGATTAAAAAAAAATTTCAGAGGATAATAAGTCCATCCATTAACTCCACCATTTTGTACAAGTTGTGTTGACTTATGCTGTCACTGGTTCACTTTATGAGGGAGGTTGAATGCTATATTTTTTGACCAATATATATATATATATATATATATATATATATATATATATATATATATATATATATATATATATATATATACTGTGCATCCCTAATATATCGTACTCAAGTACTCTATTGGTGCTAGTCCTGTTACACTCAGATATTTTTTTTCAAATCGTTTCACCCCATGCAAGGCGACATTGCCACTATAAACCCATGGTGTTACAAGGAGTGAAAGTAAAAGACAATGAGAAGACTGAGAATGGTGAGGATTGAGGTAATGAACAAAAAAGCACAGGGTTCAGATAGACACAAGATGGCGATTGACGTTGCATTTAAATTTTTGAAGATTGTAGTTGTCCGGGAAGCAAGAAATCGGAAGGGAGTTCTACAGGTGGATGTCCCGAGTATGACGATAAACTACATCCGGCAGCAAGGCTTCTGATCGGGAGGTTTTGAAGAGCGTGGAACTACCTCTTAAACGCTTCACCCAATCCTGGGTGGCAACACCTGTTAGAGTCCCAACTTTGGGCAAATAGTTAACCCCAAAACTAGGGTCAAAACACTATGAAAGTATCAAACTACATCTTTATTGAAAAAATGCCAGCAATACATTTTTGAAAAAAAGAAAAATATTACCAGCAATACATTTGACGCTCGACAAAATCCCTCTTTACAAAAACACGTCAATAAAACCTGATTTCTTATAAAGAATTCAAATTCTATTCATATGAACCTATCCTAAAAATATTATCGGTATTAAATAACCTATTGAAGTTGATATGCCGTAAAACAAAATAAGCCAAATCAAATCACAAGTGGACGGTGCGAGAAAAGAAGTTGTATCTAGCTAGTTTAACAGTAAAACGATGAGACTTAATATTCCTGTCTACTAGAGTGGCTAGACAATATTTGTGTTTATTTAACACCTACAGAGCCCACCTTTATAATGCAACTATGATGAGCAGACCTTAGTTACAGCTTCTAGGATAGAGCGTGTTATCTAGCGCGATCAACAATTTGAACAAGACCAGCACGCTCAAGCCCTCAGCTACCAAATTTCACTCACAAGGCATGGGTCAACCCGTGGTATGTTTTCATGCAATTTCCGCACGCTAGGATCGACCTCCAATCCAATAACACCAGGATGTCTCCTTCCGGACAAATCGAACATGGTGAACCCGAGTCTCATGGTCAGAATGCGAACGTTCTAACCATTCGGCCACGTGTCGATCTAGTAGCACGCTAAAATTCATGTAATCGTGGCATCATGGAATATATAGATGTCATTGGACGTTCACCACAGAATAAGCTGTTGTTTAGTTTCAAAACATTACATTGGTAGTCCTTATAACAATCTTTATATGAGGCTATCAGCATTTATTTGGTTTGGGGGATAGGTAAATATAGGTCGTTTAGATTTGAATCTATAAAAATTTACTTGGTTCGAAAATTGGTAAATATTTGTTAATTTACATTTGATTCTCTACGCATTCTCTTGGTTCAAAAACTGGTCAATATTGGTTATTTATATTTGAGTCATTAAGTATTTACTTAGTCTAGGAGGAAGTAGATATTGACCTATCAAATATGCAGGTAAGCATTTAATTGATTCGGGAATAAGCAGATATTAATCGTTTTTATTTGAGTCTATATGTGTTTATTGGAAATAGATAAAAAAATGTTGTTCATGTTTGGGCTTATAAACATTTACATAGCAAATTTCATCGTATGGTGGACAATTTATACCCCTCTAGTCGGTGGCGTTAGCAGATTCACCCCCCTCCTCTCACCGAAGAGGTTTGCCTTATAAATGGAGAAATACTTTAACAATAATTAATATAAGTTTATCGATAAATAATTTTGAATAAATTATCTTGAATGACGAAGGTATTATATTTAAAAAGATTAGATAGATAGATAGATAGATAGATAGATAGATAGATAGATAGATAGCTGATAGCTAGCTAGCTAGCCAGATAGATAAATAGACAGATATCTAGCTAGCTAGCTTGATAGATAGATAGATAGATAGATAGATAGATAGATAGATAGATAGATAGATAGATAGGGGGAGTATACACAACTAGTCTTATTCCTTATCAGGTGTCCTATGATTGTGCTTTTGTGCTAAGTTAAATATCTATATAAGTATGCTTTAGAATCATATTGTGTACTATGAAATTGGTTGACCAATTTCAAGGAAGGGAGTTCATTCACATTGGCACGTGTCTAGAGATGCCCTGTGTTACAATAAACACGCTTTATTTTTTAACCGAATTTCTTATCTAAAATCTACTAGTGTACATGATAAGGCAAACATTTTGTGTGTATGTAAAACATCTCTGGGATCCGCTGGATTACGCTTCCGAGATAAAATTATTAAAAAAAAAAAAGAATTTGCTCCCTCGCAATATACATTATCTGATGTGCCTTATAATTAAAAAGGTAAGTATTTTTATACAAATATTTTTGGTTCTTAAGGACATAGATGGATAAACGATATAATATTGAATTATTAGATAGAAGTAATTTTCAGTTTAGGGAATCAATTGTGATGAGGAATTCATCATTCTAACTACGAATCACAAATAGCACATTTATTTACGTGCTAATACTCTTGGGAAAGGTATGAGTTCTCTGCTTCTCCCCCCAGCTATGGGTAAATAGCAGGACAAACCAGGTTCTATAGCCTTGGATAGCAACTGGTCTACCGCATAAAGAAATGGCAGCATACCACTTCGTCAGCCATATATCGAAAGATAAATGCTCGCCTAATCGTGTATCACGCAAGGCACATAACTGACTGAACTACTAATCATACGTGGCAGCTAAGATTATATTTGGGAGGACAGTAACATACCATAGACTTGCACGGCAGTAGCAGCGTACACAGTGGATAAAATCAAAATGCTGTTGTCCTCCATGACTAAGCGTGGCCTCGCACAATACAGAATAACACAGGAAAAAAATTTGCAACTCGGGTGTTCTGTTCTCCCTGAACATTAATTGGCCGTGGTTAAATGTTATTGACAGACCTGGCAAGAAAAAGAATTGATAAAGCTTCCAAAAAACAATAAAATTTGAAAGGTAAGAGCAGGACAAAGATAATACAAATGAAACAATAAAATAGTTTGTAACGTTCTGACATCAAGAAAAGAAAAAAACAAAATATGGCGGATGAGACTGTGAAGTTGTCTATCTTATTGGCTAGAAAGAAATCCCAGCATGTATCTAGAAGGAGTGCCTATAAATTTGGCGAGGGGAATGGTTTTGGAACCAACACTACACTGCTTACCATCTTCATCTGATCTCCTATCATGTAATTTCGACATTTTTCTATCACTGCTAAGGAAGTTTAAAAGTTGACAGAGGACGGTAGGTGCGACGTTGAGATCTGAATAGGGATTGGAATCGCCAAGGATGGGTTCCAAAAGCTGGGCAGAGTACTGAGAGACTGGAGGATTTGTATGGTGACAAAGAAAAGAGTACTGAGCTGTTACGTGACATCTGTCTTCCTATACGGCAACTAATGATGTTGGATGCTTTCCTCAAAGGTGAAGAAGAGACTCGAGGCAGCGGAGATGTGGTTATACAGAAGGATACAGAGTATATCATGGAGCGAGCCTGTGGGTAACGATGAGATGTTGGAATGGATACAAACAAGGAGGAAGCTTATACTTAAAATAAGGAAGAGGCAGATGTAATTTCTGGGAGACGTAATGAGAAAGGAAGGCCTGGAGAATTTGATACGCACAGGTCGAATAGAGGGGCAAAAGAGACAAGGAAAAACAACGCATGAAATACCTGTTTTATGTTTTGGACAGTAAATACAGTGAGGAAAAAAACAGACAAAAAATGAAAAGATAAGATTTGCATTAAAGTCATTTATGCATGGCCATTAGTAAAAGGATGAGCTCGAAGTGCGACTTGCGTTCGGGGAATCAAGCATGTGCAGGAGTTTAAAAATCTGGGAAGTGTTTTGACAGAGGACGGTAGGTGCGACGTTGAGATCCGAAGCCGGATTGGGATGGCCAAGGATGGGTTCCAAAAGCTGGGCAGAGTACTGAGAGACAGGAGGATTTCTATGGTGACAAAGAAAAGAGTACTGAGCTGCTACGTGACATCTGTCTTCCTATACGGCAAGGAATGATGTTGGACGCTCTCCTTAAAGGTGAAGAAGAGACTCGAGGCAGTCGTTCTACAGAAGGATGCTAAGGATATCATGAAGCGAGCATGTGAGCAACGATGAGGTCTTGGAAAAGGATGCAAACAAGAAGGAAGCTTATACTTAAAATAAGTAAGAGGCAGATGAAATTTCTGGAACTCGTAATGAGAAAAGAAGGCCTGGAGAATCTGATACTCAGAGGTCAAATAAAGGGAAAAAAGACAAGGGAAAGCAACGCATGACATATGTGGCGGGCTTAAGCAAGTGGATGGCAGAACGTGGTCTGGGGAGTTGACAGAGGCATGAAACTTATTGAGAGTCACAAGGAACAGGGGGAAGTGGATCGCCTACATCCTGAAATGACATAAAAAGAAAGAAAAGTGAAACGTTTTGATTTCTCCAATGAATACTAGATTCAAATGTTCCACATAAACTTTCCTGCATAAAAACTTTGGAAATTTTACTCAAGATATATCGCAGAGCTGTCTGAAAAGTGGCAATACGTCACTGCAAAAAATGTGTGTGATGCGGCATTCACCCTGGGCGGATTGAGCCGGCTTCTTCCTGTTGTGAGAAGAAGATTCTTGGGATAAATTACAGAAGTAGGGTACCCAGGCCTACTCGGATAACGTTCTTGCTTGCCGCGGGGTTCCCACAGACGCAGAGACAGGAACGACCAGAAGCCGCCGGTTGCCGATGCAGACGCTCCTTGGATTTTCACCAGAGCCCTTGTTAGCCGGCGTGTGTGTCAGACCTGTCCGCCTTGGTGGCCCTACCAGGAACGAAGTTCCGGACGGCATAACTCTGACACTACTGTTTATACCCCCACCGACTGTGAGGTAAGGGTTGGACTTTGGGGCTTACAGTACCAGGTGTTCCCAAGCGGTCCCCATCTAATTACTGACCTGGCTCTACGATGCTTAACTTCGGTGATCGAACGAGAACCGGTGTTTTCAGCGTGATTTGACCGTAAGCACTGCAAAAAAAAAAAAAAAAAAAAAAAAAAAAAATGATGGGGAATATATGAATAACAAAAATATAATTCTAGTTTATTTTTTTGAAGAACAAAGTTGATAAAAAGACGAAAATTATTTATGATTAGTCAATAGATATCTCCTTAAAAAAAATCTTCATACCCCCATTTCAGCGTAACTCGCATGTTTATTATTCAGATGCAAATCACCCGAATCTTCTTTATATTGTTAACGCATTTAATGGATTAATCAGTTATGTGCCATGCGTGATACACGCTGAGGCGACAATAAATCTTTCGATACATGACTAACAAGGCAAATTTTTCCTGCAGTAGGTTGCCATTTCTTTCTGCGGTAGACCAGCTGTTAGCCAAATCAGTAGAACCCGGTCACATCTGCTATTTATCCATAGCTAGGTGGAGAACAAGAGGATTCATACCTTTCCCAAGGGTATTAGCACATAAGTGAATGTATTAGATTCGACTGGATCGACTGTTTGTCTGAGACCCACGGTTTCAGGTAAACTGATTCATTTTTAAAATTTGCGATTTATATATGGCTGCGTATATTGGTGTTTTTATGGTAATGGGAGGAGAAATTGTCGTCGGAAAGCCACTCATATGTACACGGACATACATGTAGCCACATTGACGCATTGTAGCTCACACATATATGAACAATGTGGGACTGGGCGTATATGTGCATTCATGTGTCGTTGCGTACATACATACGCAATTGGTCGCTGTAGTCAGTGTTGAATTGTGTGGCGAAGTAAATAATTACCGCGCATATATAATATATAAATAATATATATAAAAATTGCATATATATATATATATATATATATATATATATTTCCTTGTCTGACGATTGCTACGTGCATGTTACTCAGACTTGTACAAAACGCTGAGAAACGAAATGTTTATGTTTATTATTAGTATAGATTTTCGGTCTATTATTATACATCGGGTAATATTTTATTACAACCAGATTTCAGTGTGATCTGTTTTACATTTACATGTTGCGATGTGTCGCCATTTTATATTTTAAACTTCGCGCATGCGTATGCTTTTGTTTTTTTCTACTACACAGTATAGTAGTATCAGTTGGGCAGCGACTGCGAGAAAAATAGCATTGTGACGCAATTCATTCGGTCAGAAATGTAGAAACGTCATGCTGTACTGCTTGGCACTTGCGCCGGAAGCTCCAATCCAAACATTTAAGTGTTATACAATTCCCTCCACTACATTAGAAATTGATACTGAGCACTGTTAACCATGAATATAGCATAGCTCAAAAATTATATTCTTAATATATATATATATATATATATATATATATATATATATATATATATATATATATATGTGTGTGTGTGTGTGTGTGTGTGTGTTTGTATTTTTGGCAGCATATTCTATTTTAGGAATGTCTGACTGTATAAGTTACAAGCGTTATTTCTGCTTATTTTGATCATAATCCTTTCATATTCCCGAATATTTTTTCGTATATCACTATTAAATGAGGCAAGAAATATACTATAACAATGAGAATCGCTTTTATTACCCAAGTACTTTCCATTTCTTTCTGAGATCAATATCAGTGGCAAAATCCATGTGTAACTATCCATTAGTGAATTTTTTTAATGTGTAAACTCTATGGCTGATTGTTATGATTTCGCGTTCATTAAAACTAAAATTATGGAATTTTCTTTTTCGTTTGAATGTTATGGTTATGGTTCATATATATATATATATATATATATATATATATATATATATATATATCGTGTAATTGAATATACATAGACTTGTATTAATCTAGGTCGATAAATAAATGTAGCCAGTGGTTGAAAAAGTCGTTTATTTTATAAAATTCAAATTTGTTTGTCAATATCATTGCTTTCTTTGTTATTGAATGTTTCTCTGGTAATCATATGACTCGCGCATTATACAGTGAAAATTCGATGGATAATTGTGTTCGGTTACGGACTTACTGATAAACCCTCATATGCACACACACACACACACACACACACACACACACACACACACATAAAAACATGTCTGTTGGTGTCTGTGCGTGTGTATATATGTCTGTGCATAAATGCTTATATATAAATATATGCGTGTCTTTCAAGCTATGTATATGTTTCGGAAGAATGGCAGTAACGTCGTTCACGGTTGACTAAGGTGTAGTCTTTCCTTGGAAAATGCTTTAGCATCTCAAATTGGCTCCTTCTTTATCCATATGCAGAAACACGTTCGGGAAATGCAAGGAAAAAGTAACTTTCTTTCCATTAGATCTGTTTTTCCTGTTGTTGTTGTAGGTTCATTTATAACTTGGCCTTATTTCTTTCAATTTATTTTGATTTTTTTTTTGTTTTTTTTTTTCATCTAATATCTTTGACTGATTCATTCTTTTTCCTTCCTCTGTTTATTTCTTTTTCTATTGATTTCTTTTTATTAAACTGATGCTTTTTTTTCTTTTCTTCTTTCTTTTCTTCTTTTCCGGTGTTGCGTCTCTTTTTATCTCCATTCCATTCTGTTTTTATTTTCCGCTTAATGTCTTTCTTTCTTTCTTTTCTTTCTTTTCTTTCTTTTTATACACCTCTTTCTTTTTATTTCTGTCTGTCTTTCCTTTTTCTTTCTTTGCATCTCGCGAGAACTTTCTTTATATTCCTCTTGCGCAGTTATTCATTTCTTTTTCTTTCTTTCTTTCTTTCTTTCTTTCTTTCAGTTTGAAAGGAATTTCTTTATACATGCCCACTTCTTTCTTTTTTTCTTTCTGTCTATTTTCCTTTTTTATCTTTCTTCCATTTCGCAAGGACTTCCTTTGTATTCCTTTTGAGCATTTTTTCTTTCTTTCTTTCTTTTTTCTTTCTTTCTTGCCATTTCACGAGGGCTTTCCTTGGATTCCATTTGTACATCTCTTTCTTTTTCTCTTCTTTTTTCTTTATTTCATTCATTAATCATACTTTCTTTCTTTCACTTTCCATTTCACGAGTTCATTCTTTCCATTCCTCTTGCACACGATTTTGTCTTTAGCCCCAACTTATTAATTGATTCTTTCCTCATTCACTTTTAAAATACCTTTCTTCATTTATTTCCACTCAGCTGAATTTAACTCACGTGTGTCAGTCGTTTCTTCATTGTATAGATCTCTCTTCTTTCTCTAGTCTTTTGCATTTATCTATCTTCCTGTCTTTCTGTTTTAAAAATGCGACCATTTCAATAGACCAAAGATGTTACATTTAATTCAAATTTTCACTTTCTATCTGTCCAAGGCCAAGAATGATTGAATTAATCTTGACAAAATGATTTAACCATATTACATTTGTGCGTTATTTATTTAGATTTGATCATATGACAAACGATCTATCTATCTATCTATCTATCTATCTATCTATCTATCACAGATCTTCAGTATCTATAAATAGCTATCTTAGTCTCTTCACAATGGAACTAATAGGTTTTTATCTATCTATCTATCTATCTATCTATCTATCTATCTATCTATGTAAATGGCTAGCTATTTCGAATACAGTTATCCACTATAATAACATTTGAAATAATAAATATACGTATAAATATTGATAATATTAGTGGTCAATATATATATATATATATATATATATATATATATATATATATATATATATATAAATTCTGAAGAGGATAGAATCCAGGTAGAAACTCAGTGTCCAGGACAGAGCAAGAATATAATATAAAAGGCTCAAACACAAATATTCCATAGTTATAATTTATTACATTGGAATTGTAATCACAATCCAATTCATCAGACCTAAAAATTCAAAACGAAATCAGAAAATATAACTCCGGGTATAAAAACAAGATTTCAGTAACAGTGTATGTGTGGGAGTGGGAAACAAGAGTGAGAGGGAAATGTATGAAAGCTGTAGAGAGTGGTGTACTGGAAGAAAGAGGCATAGGAAAGTCCTGAAGGTGAAGGTGAGGATTAAAATTTAAAAGAGAGAAGTTTTAAAGAGAGAAGTTAAATAACGGTTTAAACGATTGAGATACAGATAAACTTGAATTATTTTCAGATGCATAAATCACTACCGATTCGCGGACCTAAAATTAAAAAATAAAACAGACACTGGAAGCCTGTGGATACATTTGTGGTGACCTTAGGCACAATAAAATCTCTCTCTCTCTCTCTGTATATATATATATATATTATATATATATATATATATATATATATATATATATATATATTGAGAACTCTTATGTAGCGTGTTAGAATCATATTTTAAATAAATAAATATATATATATATATATATATATATATATATATATATATATATATATATATATATATATATAAGCAAATATATGGATATAAATCCGACAGTATGAAGAAAAATATATACGAAAAAAAAAACAAACAAAAATCCTTATATACAATTATGCTGTTTTAATGTTAATATGTCAACGTCGGACGTTTCGGTCTAATAAACCATCTTCAGGACATATTCATAAAATATAATTACCATTATCAATTCAACATGACAAAGACGATGTACATAAGAACAAGACATATCCAAACAAATAACTGAAAGTTTTATAAGATCAGCGCTCTGTTTAAAACATGGTCACGAACTTTGCGAACTTTGGTAGCAAAATGATCTTTAGTGAGATTTATTTTCCGAAATTTTCTTATTTGCTTCGAAGCTCAGCACATTTATCTACAGCACATCTGATCTGACAACTTTCACTCTGTCTAGAAGGGTCGCAAGTTCGAATCCTGCTAGAGGGGACATATTTTCCTTTAATAAGATTTTTCAGATATTCAGGCCGATAGACGAAAATAAATAAATGTACTTTTTAATAAATAAACGGAGCGTATAATCAAATACAAGTAGCCAATAAAATCCATCCATCCATCTATCTATCTATATATATATATATATATATATATATATATATATATATATATATTATATAGTTGTTTTACCGTTTTTGCCCGTGTTTGTCTGTAAATTACCACCTCCTTTTAAGCCGTTTCGAGTAAATTTCTTCTCCACCCTCTCAATTGTTGTTGTTTTTTTTTGTTTTTTTTTAATGCTTGGTCACGTGGTCTAGGTCTTTTCTTTATCGCCTATAAGTATACAGTTTTCTTTGCCTCTTTAGCCAGCTTTCCCTGACGATCCGCTTAGGTGAAACCTTGGTAGGTTTGTCTGGCTCTCTAGGTTTGACTATATATATATATATATATATATATATATAGAGAGAGAGAGAGAGAGAGAGAGAGAGAGAGAGAGAGAGAGAGTGGGTGAGAGAGAGAGACAGAGAGAGGCAGAGGCAATAAAAGAGGAAGGGTTAAGGAGACAGAGAAACACAGGCCATGTAAAGATATCCGTTGAACGAAATTATTGAATTCATTTAGGCTTAAGAGGGAATGCTTAAAATGAGTGAAAGACAAAAGAAACAAAGTCAGACATATTAAAAAAGAAAAGAAATACAAAACAAAACAAAATAACAGGCAGGTAAAGATTTAAACTGGAAATTAGGAGAATTCTAAGCATACCCAAAGAAATATCATTCTCGGGTAGAGTGGGTAAGCGATCACGTCAGCAAATCTCTTTTTATAAACACCTTGTTTATACAGCCAGTAATAACATCACGCAGCTATTACTCATATTAGCACGCTTGTTGTATATATATATATATATATATATATATATATATATATATATATATATAAAGATTGAGGGAGAGAGTGGGTTGTCATGGGGTTGATTGATATATACATAAATGTGAACGGACTAAAATAGATATGAACAGACTATCAGAGATAGATCGATCCATAGATAGATATGTCTGAGCAGATTGAGATAGATAGATAGATAGATAGATAGATAGATAGATAGATAGATGGGAAGATAGAAATAGATAGAAATGAACAGACTGACATACTAGAGATAGATAGATAGAACTGATAGATAGATAGATAGAATGACCGAAATAGATAGATATGGATAGACTGATGTACTATAGATAGATAGATAGATAGATACATGTGAACTGACCGAAATAGATAGAAATGAATAGACTGACGTACTATAGATAGATAGATAGATAGATAGATAGATAGATGTGAACTGACCCAAATAGATAGATATGAACAGACTGACGTACTACAGATAGATAGATAGATAGATAGATAGATAGATAGATAGATAGATAGATAGATAGATAGATAGATGTGATCTTACCGAAATAGATATAAACAGACTGTCATACTACAGATAGATAGATAGATAGATAGATAGATAGATAGATAGATAGATAGATAGATAGATAGATATGAAAAGACTGAGATAGTGAAATCGATTAAAATTAGCAGACCCAAACTTGAAAATAATAAAAACCCAGATATACCATCTCCTAAACCAATTTTCCAGAATCGGAACTCCATCTTCTTGAATCCAAAACTCACCTCCAGTTTCTGTCTGAAACAGGAGCAAATGCCTCAACTACTTTGCAGGAGCTCGCAATCCGGACTAATCAACTACCAAACACGACCACCAAAATCGACACGGTCACTGACTCCCTCTAACTTTCATATTTTTGATGGCTTCGATATCAACTACAAAGAGTAGTTAGTCCATTCAAACAAAACAGATGAAAAAGACAGATATTTCGGAGACCTCTCCATCGCCTATAAAGTAACCTAGATCATCGAAGACCTCACCATGAAAGGTGTTGAGCACGTAAATATGAACAGCCTCTTGAGCGATAAGCAGTACTAGTTTCGATCAGCCCGAACCACAACTGATGCCCGAACTACCATTATTTACAGAATCAGTGAGGCATTAGAAAACGAATACATCCCAAGGACCATAGCATTTGGACGGTCCTCGACAAGGTGTGCCACAAAGGACTGCTGTTGCAGCTCTCTACCTAAGGAATCATTGGAAAAGTTTTCTCAATACTAACAGTATGTCCCTGAAGGTAGTTGTTAAAGGACAGCCCTCTGATCCCCTAGCAATTAACGCAGGCGTCCCCCCCCCGCTCCGGGGTCAGTTCTCGGATCAACACACTTTTTACTTTACATAAATGTCTAAGATTATACTCAGATCATTTTTGATTATCCATACCGATGATACGTCGATATATGAGTGCACCTCCAAAACTCGTGATGACCCGGCATCTGGTCTCTCACCCGATTCTTGCTCTAACATCTCAGTGGGGGAAAATACCTGGCTAATTTTAATGCTTCGAAAGCCAAACTAATTACATTCCATCATCGGCGATCGGACCCCGTACTTCCGTCAGCTACAGGGAGGCGTCGTGCCTTGAGAGACTATTCGGACTCAAACCAACCCCGGGGCTCAAGTGGAAGTTGTACATACTCTATCTCGCTAAAGTTATGCTTCCTATACCGCTCCTCTAAGTACCTGACACCTGGTTCTATCCTATACCGTTACAAGAGCAAGATCAGACCTAAAACGGAGTATTGCTGTCATATTTAGGCAGGAACTGCCCACTACTCACTTTCCAATCTGGATAGAGACTAAAAGCGTCTCCGCGTCCTTGTAGGCGACAAATTATTACCACCCTGCAACACCACTTTCACAGACGGGATCTTCCATTTTGGACGAAATGCATTCTTTGTTTCTGTTCCCCTTCACGGCTAGCACCCATAATGCCACTCACATTGTATCAAACCATCCTCATTCTCTTCGTATTGGAGCCTCTTCTGTTTGCCTCGGTGTTCCTGATAAGCTCCAGAGGCGGATATGCAATATAATTGGCCTTGTTCTGGCATCTCGTTTACAGTCTCTCTCTTACATACACGCCGTCGCCTCTCTCTGTCTTTTTTACGAATACTTTCATGGTAATTGCTCCGAGGAGCTGCATTCGCTGGTTTCTAGACTCCATGAATTCAAGCGCCCTACGAGGCTGGCACCCCGCTCTCACCCTTTCACTGTTGAAACTACT